GTTTGTCAATATAAGATAGTTGTAAGAATCGTGTTTGTCAAACATCGTCGAGTAGCTTACCTTTTCATCATATAGAACGCTCGAAATTTGTGCTATGATTCCTGAGCCAGCTTTCACTGAATGTCCATTCATCACACAGTCTTTTCTGACTAAATGCATAAGATTGATCGGCAGCAAGTTTGCCAAGCGTTGAGTTTCCTGAACGAGAAATCAAAAAGTACAACACATCTCATCCGTAACAAACGTTAATAACAGCATTTACATATGGCAGCTGGTTTTTATCAGACATGGTTATGACTCTATCGGAACCAATGATCTTATCCATCTCTTCATGCATTTTTTTCTGAATTAATTTTCGCCGTTCATTTCTCTAGGTTGAGCGACTAACCTGTACATCTGGATGGTTCATTACATACACAAGACACCAAGTCAGTGTGTTGGAAGTGGTTTCCATTCCAGCGGTCCATAGATCAAAGCACATGTTCAAAAGTTGTAAATGGCTAGAAATCAGAACTTCGTCTTGTCAGATGTTCCACCACTCACCAGAATGATGAGAAATCCCCTTTTTTTTCCCTGTTCTTCCTTTCCTCCAGAAATGCTTCCGTAAAGTCTGTAGGTTCTTCTGAGTCTCTATTTTTCATATCTTCCATATGAGCAGCAATTTGTTTGTTTAAGAACTCGAAGATTTTGTCGCGGCCCAAAAGGACTCTATTAAAATGATTAGTTGTTCAGGTGGAGGCACATACTCGTCCATCATTCCTTTGAAGTAAGGTAACTTAGCGACTTTGGGGAAAGCGCTGATTACAAGAAATTGAGGTTTACCAAATAGGCGCATCTGATCTGAGAGCAAATCTTTGAGTGTCATAAACTCATCACGACAATTCTGAATAATTCGTGTGAGAAAATAATCTTATGGATTATATTACTTCATCGAATCGATATCCGAATAACAGTTGATTAATAATGGATCCTACTCCAATATCAATGATATCCTGCATTTTTTCTACACGTCCATTTTTCTTTTGCAACAGACTCTTTGTGAGCTCTTCGACCTCGATAAGTACCTCAAAAAATGAAAATACTGTCCACGAATCAAGAATTAAACTATTACTCTCTCTTCCATTGCATTCTTGCCCAGACCTAAATCTCTAAGCTGATGCAATGTGAATCGACGATGATCTCTCCAGAAATCGCCATTTGTATCTACGACTCCATATTTACCTCCTTAAAATACATATCATCTAGGATCAAACTCAAGTCTAACCTCTATATTCAGTAGTCATTTCACCGAAGTCGTATTTATCAGCAAAGTCGTCGCCATTACGTATGAAGGTCTCTTTGATAATTTCATAATCCGTAATCATGACCATAGCTTTGCTTCCTAGAAAAAGCTTATTCAAGTTTCAATAACTGACACCTACCCAACCAGAAGGTGTATACTGGACCATACTCTTTACTCCATTTTTCAAATGCGGCATATCCAGGCTCAAAACGAAGCAGTGTATGCAAGTTTCCAACTATAGGTAAGGGTATAGGACCTATCAAATTACTGTATTGTTGTTGATAACATGAATCCCTACCTGGTGGTAGGTGCCTTCTCCTCCAGTAGAACTGATCGAACAAAACCCAACCAAGAAAGATTGTAAGAAGAACAAGAATCATTGTGTCTGTAGTGTCTCTCGGAAACACTTATTTATAAGCGAAAACAATGATAAATTTTAAATACGCCCTTATCTTGTTTCCTATCAGTTTAGTGAAAAGAGACATCGCGTCCTCAATCGAAAACTTACTAATTGATTGGACAGGTAAGCCTTCTACTCTCGCAGTTATGCATTCTAATGAGAGAGTCTTCCACTCTAATCAAAAGAGAACACATTATACTCGTTTCATCAGAAAACGGCAGAGAAGTGAATGAAATGTACACGTTTCGACATAAGATCATCACAAGCAATGACCATTCTACTTCAGTTTTTCAGAAACATTGTGATGTTTAACCAAGAAAATCGTATCGTAATTGCATTATTCATACATGTCTATGTTAAGTCAGTCGATAAGACAAAATTAAGGACAAATGTGTTAAGAAGTAGGAGTTCTCATTTGCTTTGAGCACCTTATGTATACTGCCGACTGACGAATTCAACATAATTCTTCTGAAATTCCCATAATGCCTTTATGGTATTGGAAGCTGTCTTATTGAGAGTGAGATATAAACAAGTGTTTATCAGGAAAACTGATGGCATTGCTAAATATGACAGTTCTAGCAGACCTGAAATTGAATTATATGTTTACCAACATATCAGTTGTTATACTGTTATTAACAGGGATGAACAGCGATAGATAAAGAGGAGCTGGAAAAACAACTAATCCAAAAGATGTTACGGACGACTGCAATGTATACTTGATGTTGCAGAACTGATTTCATACTTGGATAATTAAGTTTATTAAAAGTTTTTTGTGATATTGAACTGATGTTGGTCCTATGATATTTTGTTTCTCTTTTATCTTAACTGTTATAAAGTATGCCATCAAAGTTTTTGTCTGTAACTTCCAATTGTAGTCACTGAAGTCAAACGACTCTTACTAGTATGGCAAACGTGAATGAAACCAAAGAGTAAAAGACATATATATAAATTTCTATGCTGTTCGAGGGAATAGCTGTTACTGACCGCTCTTTCAAGTATTTTTCATATGAATCACTAATCTGCGACAATAAAATATATAATCTGAACTTGGTTTCTCGCCCACGTTAAGTATACTGAAGTTTGGATCCGATGGTACACTATAAAATAAGTAAGGAGGGACAATGGTGAAAATGCAAAAAATTACAAACGAGAGTACTTCACATACTCTCAAGCGCTGGAAATGTAAAAACCATCAGTTCTGAAGAAGATTTGAACAAACTTTGAAGATATGAGAGCTTTCAGTAATAAGATGATAACGGTACAAATACGATGTTGTCAAAGCGGAGACGTACAAGCCCAGGAAAAATAACACAATGATGTAGCCTATTCCACAACGAATGTTTAAAACGTTGAAATAACCTTCACAGTAATAGTAATATGAGTTGGGTTCACTCCAAAACTTGCTCATCAACGAAAAAGTGAAAGCCAACAGATACATACTTACCTAGCAAACGTTGTTAGTTGAATACGAATAAGAACTCACAAATTGCAATCCTGTCAAGCATTTATAACAAACAGATTCTCTGGATTTTGGCGCTTTATAGAAAATGAAGATAGCGAAGCAGAAAACAACCGAAGAAATTAGGAATAATATGTTTTGACGCATTATGTATCCAGTATGATCGGGTGTTAACTCCATGCTTTATGCAAAAGTATCTCAGTCTTCTTCTTCGATGGATGATCTCCTCTATCAAAAGTTTTCAACCGCTCACTGAGAGAGTAAAATTGAAAAATGAATCTTACGTGAGAATGGCGTGAAACACAAAACTATTTTTAAGTCTAGTTCGAGGGGAGCGGTTGGTTTTCAGTGCAGAATGAATGAATGTATTTTCTCCAGCTTCGGTAACTGTTTGAGCTTAGTAACAGTTTGTTTTTGTTTTCTATAGAAGATGCTTAGCCCATGATTAACACAACAAATATGGTAGTTGCTTTTAGCAGTTTTCGAAACTGTTCTATGTACAATGTAAAACTTTTACTTCAATGATTCAATTGAACACACACTATGGCAGGTTAGTTTATAAGATTTAACAACTTCACTTGGTGCTGCCTGTGATCTTTGGGTTTAAAACTTCAGCAGTGCTTGTATACATGCGCGGTTGACTTTGTATCGTCGCATCTTCGACTTGTTGGGGTGTTGCAGGTGGAGGATGGCTAAACTTGCAATTTTTCCCTCTTTTACAAATACCACTTGTGAAATCCCTACAAAGTGAAGTTTTTTTGCAACCAAAATAATTGGTAAGACTAATACCTGCATATTTTTCTTGATTTTGGAATATCCTTCATCTGTTCCGTAAGAGGTACATGCTGACTTAGTCTAGCGTGATGAAGGCTCTCCTCTCTTTGCTGTTCTGACATAAATACACTTGTTTTCTGAAGTAAAAGGAAACTGAGGGATACTAACATAGCAAACAAACAATTAAATTAGTTTCAAATAAATCCCTAGCACTTGGTAACAATTTTTTTATAGGTGGCTCTTCTAAACATGACTTGTTTCAAAAGGAAGAACTAATTTCCGAACCTGCTGATGTAGTGGCCGGCATTTCTCGTTTCCTGCTCTCTTCATGCTCTTCATCGGAATCACTGTCATTATCATTGAAAAAGAATGAGCTTTTCTTTTGCTAAAAAAACTCAGATTAAGTTAGTCCAACTAAAATAGATTCAATAATACCTCACTCGCTGTAGACGTTGAAGCTACAACTACGTCATCCTGTGCTGGCACTGAGCAATCGGAGAGCTCATCATCTTCATCCTCGTTATCGGAATAAGCGGTTAGTAAACTTAGAGACATTTAGAATGTAAGGAATGTTTTATTACTCCAGATAAAAGTATGCTAATTTCTTTATGGGGGTATTATATTTTACGGTAGGTTATGTTTGTCTGTGCGGAATTAGACGTCTACTTGCGACCAAATCGTTTGAAAAATTCCATCGGTTCATACTCTAAAGCTCAGATTTCTAAGGCTCTTCAGGTCTTTGAAAAGATAATATGCTTATGTTCTCAACTGTAAAGAGTATATTTCAGGTTTTTAGTTGGTAAGGAGCCTTTCTTCGTTTGCTCCCAAACCTATAATCATGTCAGAACTTGAGGTGAGAACTTCTTTGGCTTACTGAGTAACTGATGAATGATTGAAGGCGTTAAATGGGTTGTGCCAACAACTATATATGGCTACAGATCAATCTGTTCGACTTCAAGCTGAGCAAAATCTGGCTGAGCTCATAGAATCACCCGAATGCTTACGACGTTGTATGTTGCTTCTAGAAAGTGGGCAGGTTGGAAATATTAGTGAAGCATGTACTATGCGTTTTTCTTTCATATTCAGATTCCTTATGGTCCTCTAGTGGCAAGCACAGCTTTGATGAAGTTGTTGAATTCTAAAACCGGAATGACTACTGAACAGAAATTAGATTTAAGTAAGCATTTCAAGTAAATGTTGGTTTGTCATGTTTTCATGTTAGGCAGATATATACTCAATATGCTGGGTTCTCGGAGCCCATCCTTGCCCTCATACGTTGTAACGTCTCTGTGTCAATTATTTGCTCGTATAACTAAGCAAGAATGGAATTATTCCATTTCCGAAAAAACCTTTCCATTTCGGGAACCTGTGACTGCAATTATGACAACTATCGATGAAGTAACAAGATACACACGTTTCAGTTGATGTTATAGCTATTCATTGCAGAGTAACATCCCTGAAAGTTTATTAGCAGCTCAAGTTCTATCATTGTTAGTTGTAGATATGAATTCGGTACACCAGTCTTTGCTTTTCTATCTCATCCTGTTGTTTTCAGAATGCGGGCATGGAGTCAATGCACAAGCATCGGAAGAGCATGAGCCAGTTTAGGGATGGTCCATTACTGGAAATCTTCCAAATTTCTGTTAAATTTCTCGAGAATGTTGCAGGTCGTGTTAGTCTCAGTTCCAGTATTGTAAGTTGTTCCTAATAAGCTTAGCATAACAGTTCCTTTTAAGTTTCCTCTTGTCGATGCTGTTCTTGACTTGTGTTTAAATACTTTACTCTTTGATTTTGTTGGTAGCCTAGCAGACGAAACAAGTGAAGAAACTTTCAACGTTCAAGTTCCGACTGTTTGGAGAGAATGTAAGAACTGAAATTATATTCTTATATTTCTTTTTTTTGTGTTTTAGGTTTCATTGATGGTAAAATTGTAACACTTATTTTCGAGCTGTACCAGAAACTACCAAATACATCGACTGAAAAGGTTCGCCGACTAATACTCTTTATTCTATCCCTTGCTTGAAGCTTCTTCATATAACCGTACAACTGGCGAGCATACGTCGCACGTTATTCAATGCTCCGGAACGTCAAAGTTATCTCACTAAGATTGTTGTTGGAGTTAAGATGGTTCTTGAAAATCCTAGTAAATTGAACGACCAGGTTTGTTAGTTTCCTTAGCTTTAATTTCATCGTCTTTCTGTACAGGGAGCTTTTCATGAGTTCAGTCGACTTATAGCTAGGTTGAAAACAAACTATCAATTAATGGAAATGATTAAAATAGATGAATATTCAATGATGATGCGTTTATTGGCAGGTTTTACAGTTGAGAGTCTTCGAGTAAGTCTCACTCTAGTTGGTACCATTGATTCGCATGTTTGAATTTCAGTTAATGGAGTTCTCCGCTAATAGCACTTACTTTCTTCTCACTTACTGGCAACGAATGGTCTCCTCTGTACCTTACGTTCGAAATGGCGATGAACACTTGTTAAATGTATATTGTCCCGAAATTTTCGCTGCTTTTGTTGAAAGTCGTTTACAAAATGTAGATAGAGTTGTAAGGTTAGTATCATCAATTGAATTCCGTGTTATCTCCATGAATTCAGAGAAGGCGCTGATGATCCTCTCGAGGATCAAGGTGCAACCATCCAAATTCTGGAACTCCTTGCCGGTATTTGTCGTTGTGAATATGAAAAAACTTATCGCCTACTTGCTCAACATTTTGATGAAAATTATCGTGTTTTAGAAGCTAACACTCAGAATCCGGTAAGCGATGCATCAGACCATCTTACGGAGGCTCTTTTCTTTCAGAATTTCACGAATTATCGGGTTGCCGAAGGAAGATTGATTTGGGTTATCACTCTTATAGGAACTGCTGTTTTCTCAAAAACTACTTTCTCGACTCCTGTTGAAGAGCACGATAAACTAGATGGAGATCTAGTTCAAAGGTCCGTTCGTCAGATAATTTTCGAGTTCATGTTATTTTTCAGATGTTTGAAGTATATGCAAATCAATGATCAAAGATTGTACCCTACATCCTTGGATGAAAATCCCACGAATGGCAATGTCAGACTAGAAGTGTCTTTCATCCATGTTCTCGAGAATTTCCGTAAATCATATATAATGGAGCAAGTAAGCTTTCTTTTCGTCCTCTAATGCTAATGAACTTTTCCTTTACTAGGTAACAAGAACGACATATGTTTATCAAAATTTAGCTAATGTTGGCGTTTCCGATGAAACAGAAATGCTAGGAGTAATTGTTAAAAAAATGTGAGTTTCCTTCTGATTTCATGTTTCTTATTCATTCTTTCAGACTAACCAATATTAAACTCTGGCCAATGAATGAAGATATTCTCGATATTTCACTCTGCTTGCTCAAAGAGTTATCCATGGGTTACACGGCAGTTCGAAAACTGTTCCGATTACCCGATATTCAATTATTGCTCAATAATCATACGGTTAGTTGTGCGATGAAGGTTGTTAGGTGAATTCGTTTTTAGGCCGAACATTTCGCTTTCCTGGGACCTTCCATCACTTTCTCAACAATGAAGAGCAGAACAATTTTTTATGAAGCATTGACTAGACTTTTAGCTGTAGATCTGAATGATGATGATCAAACTTTCCAACAGTTTATGGTTCCGCTCACTGGTGAGAAGTTGTCGGCTTCTCTCAATTTTTGTTTTTTTAAGAAACTGTTAAAGGAATTTGTTCCATTATGGATGGTAGTTCAAGTGGATTCAACATTGAGCAACTTCAGGTTAACTACGAAAGCTTCTGATTTATCAAACTATATTATATTCAGAAAGTTATCGTCGGGTTGTTCAGAGATTTGAGAGGAATCGCCATCGCTTGTACGACCAAAAATCAGTTCCAGTTGCTTTTTGATTGGATGTCAGTTTGCCTTCTCAGAGCTTAGTCCAAAGAAATGTTTTGCAGGTTCCCTCAGGTGTTTGAAATTATGGGTAAATGTGTGGAAGAATGGACAGATAACCCGGATGTAAGTAGTCCATTTACTTAATTTTGACTATATTTGCGTTACAGGTGTCCATTCCTCTCTTCCGATTGTTATGTGAACTTCTACTCAACCGTCAACAGAGATTGAAGTTTGAGATGAACAGTTGCTCTGCAGTTCTACTATTTAAAGAATGCTCTAAACTGGTTACCAGTTTTGGTATTTCTTACTTCTGTTGTCACTGCTTCAACCATCTTACGTTTCAGGCAACCGATTTTTAGCCTTAGCCTCTAACATTCCCAAAGAACAAGTATATAAGAAACGTTTAAAAACCACCTCCATCATTTTCCAATGTTTGAAACATGCAATGGCTGGTAGCTACATTCCATTTGGTAAGTTTCAGTTCGGCTTTTCTTATGGCTTACAATTTTTTCAGGAGTATTTTACTTATACGGGGACTCTTGTCTACAAAATGTACTTGACATGTTCATGAAGCTCTTTTTGCGTATACCAGAAGAAGATTTCCTCGTAAGTTTCTTTCAAACCAATTTTCTTCACAGGTACTCCTTAAGGGATATACCAAGTTGGCTCAATCGTACTATGCTCTTCTCGAAATTGTTGTTCATGATAATATGGCTTTCATGTCAAACCTGGAACCTACCACATTTGCATCTGTTTTACGATCCATTCAAGCAGGTCTCCTGGGTTTAGGTAAATCATTTGCCTTGAATTTATCTTATTTTTTATGTTGTTCAGATACAACTGTGATGACGTCCGCCTGCTCTGCTTTGGATAATATTCTAAATTATTTGTTCAAAAGAATCACCGGAACAGGGCCTATTGTTATAAATGTGGGGTCTCAGCCAGAAGGCAACCAATGTATTATTGCCGTTGAGCAACATCCCCAGATACTTGCAGAGGTATTATTGTTTAATTTTTTCAAAAAACTAGAGTTGACAATTAAGATTCTCACTGGTATTATGCAATCATTGATGATGTGCGAAACAAGATGTCAATGGAGTGTATCTAGGCCCTTGTTAGGGCTTATATTACTTCAGGAAGATGTTTTCCAGAACTTCAAGCGCGAGGTCATACAAAGACAAGCGACAGATCGCCAACGCTACTTCGAAACGGTTTTTCATTTTTCTAAAGCTATCAACCTTCCAATGTTTTCAGCTGTTTAATAATCTGATGGAAGGTATTGAAAGGAATTTAACTATTAAGAATAAGGATCTATTCACTCAAAACATTCAAAAGTCAGTTTTCATCGATATATAAATGATCTACAGATCCTTCGCGTTTCAGATTCCGCAGAGATCTGGGCGAAGTTTCTAAGGGTCATGAAATTACCTCTCAATCTTCCAACAACAACGACATGTGTTAGACAATCGAGCAATGATTGTAATCAAATTAGAAAATTGTATAGCTCAAACTCAAATCATTTTCGTAGTTTTCGATGCACCTAATATTGGCTTTCTAACTTCCGAGGGATGATCCTCACGCGTACGGTACAACATAATTTCCAGTGCTTATTTTCTGCAAAGTTATAGTTTCCCCTTTCTAATCATTCTCTGGCAATAGAGCAAATGTGGTATGTATACATGTAGTGCTTCCATTACAAAATTGAAAGAAGTGCATGGTTTTCGATTGACCCTTGGAACGATCTAGATCTTAATTTATTAGCTCTTTGGTACTACGAGTAGAACGCATCAATTTTGTTCAAATGCCTCAATCTAATTTCCATTTTTTTTATAATGTCTTCTTGTTTTTATATCAGTTTTGATATTTTGTTTAGCTCTTCATATCGTTGTTCTACCGGATTCAACCCGTGATACATGGTCTCGTTTTTTTTATCCCAGTTATTTATGTGTCCGTCCGAGTTAATAATAAAATAATAAACATCTGAACATCAATCGTCAAAATGGACTGATTGAACTTTCATTTAATTTTCCATGTACCAGAAGCAACTAATGTTTTCTTTCTCCTGTCATCTAACATTAATGTAATCCAGTTACAGCCACCGATATTTCCATAACATAACATATGAGGAAACGGTTAGAGTCTTTTGGAAAGTTTCTTCTTGTGCTAGCATGCAGCACTGAGATCCAGATCAATTTTCATACCAGTAATCCTGATGCCTAATGTGTGATGAATTCTACGTACAAATCATATCGACAGCTGATAGTTCTGCACTCAGATTACCTTCTTATCAACATCAATTTCGTAGTCATTGTGGCAAGGCTCAGTCGCAATTGCAACTGAGGCTGTTCCTTCAGTTGAGTACAGGTGGTTACTTCATTTGGAAATATTTCATTAATTGTTTTGAAGAATTCAGATATTTATCTTCCTGTAATGCGAATAACGGCTTTGAGAGTTGTCAAATTTCTAGTTTTTTGTTCATTTTGTTTAATCACGTACTACACGAATGTCAGGTATCTTCAGCTCATTCAAGCTTGAACAACCATAGTTTTGTCTTAGATCTGGATATGGCAACCCCAAGTTTGCTGTTCGCAATACATTCATCGACTCTATAAGAATAGATACAATTGATAAAGACACGCATGTGGCTTTCGCATTGCTGGACGAAAGAAGAGGTAACAACTAGAGAATACTTGTCATCAACCGGATTGCACGTACGCATGAACGAAATAAAATGTTTCCCCAAATACTTCCACGTGCAATACGTGGGAGTAATTCTAATTAGCCGTTCTTTTTCAATGTTTCATCTTTACAGGAAACATGGGTGAACCATCCGTACGATTATTAACCTTAACGACTATTCAAATGCCTACTGTTTTTTGCAAATTTCCGAATGACGATAAAGTGACGTTTACACACAGTAATAAAATGACGTATTATTCTAGGTGATAGGCTCGTATTACGAGTTTTCTGAAAATCATGTATATGAGTTTAGTACTTATTATATAAGCTGTGCTATTCCACCTAACCAGGATCTGAGTGTAGATGTAGAGTATATTGAGGTAAAGAATGTGATAAGAATGAATCGCTTAGTTTCTCTTCTATAGGTCTCTACAAACATAACAACTGGATGGCATAAGATTCCCATATCATACAGACTTCCAAACGTTGTGGAGTTCGAAAACTATGCGAACACCTACTCAGTATGTGTGCCTAAATTATTCGGAGATAGTTTTACTCCTGAGCGATTGGTAGAGGTCGTACAGAGTTCGGGTTTTTCTTATCAAAAGTTTTTCATTATAGTTTGTTGAACTAAATCGTTTGCTTGGAGTTGATAGAATAACGCTCTATGTTGATAAGAATAACATTTCATCACAGTTAAATCAAATTTTTTATTATTATGGAAAGGAAGGGTAGGTTGAAATGACGGCAAAATTGATTGGAAAGAGATACTTGCAGAATATTAGAAATCCGAAACCTTCAGTTGCCGTTCCATGATAACATGATCTTCTATCATGCCCAAGTTTTGACAGTAACAGGTGTTCTCTACAAACATCATAAGATGACATTTTTTATATTAGACTGTCTTGTACGACACGCAGGTCAGAGCAAATTTGTTGCTTTCCATGATCTTGATGAGTTCTTAGTGCCCTTGACAACAGTAAGCTTGCACTTTCGGTGAACATAAAATACTCTTTTCAGAGGCTTTTACCAGACTATCTTAACGAAACATTGCAAGGAAATGTTAGTTCGGTCAGAGTCAAAACTTCTTATTTCGACTTGAAGTATGCAATTTCTAATATTGTTAGTCAAAAAGTATTCTTTCAAGAGACTATAAAGCCCCAATCACAATGCGAAATATACAGACATCGTCCATTCCGGACGACGTATTAACAAAATCCGTTGTACGTCCCGAGCATGTTTTTGAACAGGTTAGTTATATATTCTTTTTTTATCCATTCCTCCACACCCAGGGAATACATCACACAAGCAGAGTTATACAGGATTATATGACTGTCACATCGGGTGCAGATGACCAGATAAGGCTCTTCCATTTCAAAAAACACCAATCTGATATTGAAAACAAACACTTGGTTTCTACCTATGGGGACGAGCTTCAGCAAAACTTTGATTATGTTGTGAATCTCTTCAACTTGCAATCATCTTAGTTTCAACGAAGTTCCATCACATTGATCTCATTGAACTCGGGAAGTCGGCAGAGAAGTTCATCAAACTATCTGCTCTTAGTGAAAAATAATATATTTTTAATACATTTATTCAATTTCTTGAACAATTAACAATCAATCAAATATTTTATCGTTTCATAAATATGTTTTTTCTCTTTTTGAGATTTTTCTTTTGCGAAGATCACTTGTGGTTGAGACATGCACTGGTCTCGTTGTTCATACTATACATGGAAGGATTATCGTAAACGGAGGCTATGCATCTTTGACGGTTCTCTTCATTCAAAGCTACAAATCTCTCTGGATAGTAATCAGGATCAAAATAAGGAATCATTCCTGTAAGTTCGTTTTTAGATATATTGAATTAGGGATTGCCTAACCTCCGTAAGGGGCTGGAGCGCAGTTGCAAGGTTGTTCTTTCCATGTTGATCCCCAATCAGGTTGGTAACTGTAGTCATATCTGATCTCATCCAACTTCTTGGGCATGTCTTAATAACGTGTTGAAGATGAACTCTATAGTAAGTGTACCTTTGCAAGAGAGTAGTTTATCAGCGCCAGCAGGTACATCAAAGTATTTGCAGAACCATTTGAATGCTTTGATTCTTCTTGATTCTCCGGGACCTATCAATTGACTGAGTTATCAACTACTTTCAGTATCGTACCTCCAGGTTCATGAGCGTCTTCACCATTACATTCATTATTAATAATGAGAGAAGTGGGTCCAAATATGGGGCCAGCATATCCAGCATTAGTGTTTTCTTTTCCAGCGTTCCATTGACCTGATATTTCATTAATTCTGTTTTGATTTTCTAACTCTCACCCATAACAATATCGTGCATGGCGGGCTTTGGTGGTTGAGGAGTCATATAGAACCAAAGTGAAGCCATCATGGCGAGAGGGGGATCCATCTTGGTGATCACTAGATTAGGCTCGGCTAGCAGATCAACATCGATTCCTTTAGATTTAAGCCAATCACCGAATTGTCCGTAGTTATAATTGTAAGATATCTGTACCAAAATTTTTTTGAATATTCGGAAAGTGTGCTAACTTGGATGGCTCCTCTTCCGAAGTAGCAGGACTTGTAAATATTGACATTATCATTTTGGCCCAATGAAGAGTTGGCCGCACATGGAAACCAATAATTAAGCTCAGCACTCTCAGCACAATATCTTGATTAAACATTATATAAACTTTACGCAGTCTTTGTAAGGTTACCTTCCTCCAAAAGTACAAATATCACCATCTTGCGGATTATGACCTGGGTTTTTCTGCTCTAAAAACAGTGAGGTTGGTCCACCTTCGAACCAGTTATAGAATCCTCCACGATAGAAACAATTAGCAACTTCCTCATTTGATTTCCCTGTTCTACATGAAAGCCATCAGATTCGCTATATACATTTACTCATACCCGTATAGTCCTGCATTGTTCTCCCCAGTTTCTTGAACTGCGTGGGCGAAGAAGGCAGATAGGTCACGCCGAGCATTTTCTTCTTTTTTGTATATCTTGATTTCATCGAACTTATTTCAATTTTGAATTTATAGCAATCTTACATCATTAGGACTGCTGGTTCCAAATTCTGGGAAGTAACGAGCTGCGATAATGAATGCTTCATATGAGTAGGGTAGACAAGGTGAAGGTCCCCAACCAAGGTTAGCGAATGGGAACAGATCCTGATTTGTTTCAATTTGTATTTTTTAGTTAAAAACCGTGTACCTCAAACATCTCGCTTGTGAACCAACTTTCAAGTTCAGAGGGAGGAAGATTCATGGGATCAGTTGGAAGTAAGCAGCTTGTGGGATCAGGACCTTTTCCATATTTACCCGCTGCAGGACAATCTTTTGCAGATCCTGTGCTAGATGTACCAGGCTCTGTAAAGAGAAGAATATGTGAGTTCATTTATATTTTCTGCTCGTCTTATGTTTCAAAAGCGTGGTTAGAACTTACGTATGAAGCCGAAAAGGGCTAAGGCTAAAGCCCAAGTTTTCGCTCGCCTATACATGTAGCTGGCTATTCATGGGCATTTCGGGAGCTTATTTAAATACTTTTTGCCAACAACCGGATCATGTTTGGAGGGCATAGTAAGAGTGAAAGATATGTGTTTTATTGGAGATAATGATCGCATGGACAAAGGATTCACGTAGTCTTAATATGGGCAAATATCCCTTTTTGAAAATTAACATAAGATGATCTCTACATAATGCACGCTTATGATGTTTACACACCTTTCTTGTTTTGCTCGGTTTTTTTTCAAAACTGAGTAGGCTAGCTAAAGACTTTGTTCAATTTGTCAACATAAATTCTAGTAAAATCTAAATTAGGATTGTTTTGTCTATGACATCATCACCAACGGTTTGATCAGTTTTGTCTGATTTGGTATAGCTTTTCCACAATCAGGTTTATGAAATTGCACTTTATTTCTACCAAAGGAGACTTTTGAAAATCGTCATAGACGCTGGTCTTCTACGTGAAATCATCTCTAACCTGTTATAATTGAATTAGATTCAATTTCAAAATTTGTCCTATTGCCGTGCAAGAAGTCTTCTGGATGTATGGTAGCTAAGGCAGATATGATCGTCCATAATCGCTCCAAAAGCATGAGAAGAGCTAAAAAACGCATTTAACTTGAAAAAGAAGTTAAGGTGGAAACGTTCGGACATAAAATAAGAAACAGCACAAAAGTCTTAATGAGAGCCTTCAATAGAAGAAGACGCGGCCGGAGCAAGCCCGACTCGCCGATATGTTAGCTCTGAATGAAATGATTCGTAGCTGGACTTGATGGAAAGACAATAGGCTGAAGATGAAAAACTGTCGTCAACTTTATCGTTGTCGTCTTCATTGCTGTTCATCAGCTTCAGTCTTGGAGAATGAATCTGCGGAGGATGATGATATGGATGATGGACAAGAGCCAGACTAAGGAGGAAAGCTCGAGTCCGATGAAGATAGAAATTTATAGAAGAAAAAGCCGACACCAACTCACACACGGTACGGACAGTTGATGAAAACACGAACGCTACAAACTGCGTCTAACTTCCAATATGGGATTGAGCACATAAAAGCTGAGACTGCTGCCCGTATTGGTCACGTTGACACACAACATAGGTTTTTTTGGAGTTTTTCACTCATATATTATTGAATTCTTTGAAGTGAACGGTGAGTTCAAATGTTAAACATTGGTAAATGAGCAAACTGTTTGTGAAAACACAATAATCGTTGTTTTGTCGTGCTGTATGAAATCGGAAAGTATTTGAGAGCACTCGTACGCTTTACGAGATAGACTTACCTTTTCGGACGGTCGAAGCAGCTTGTGCTACTTCTCTTATTTCCTAAAAAGGGAGATTGCCAAGAAGTTTGGTCAGTTGAGGAACTAGAAGGTGAAGTATAGAGTAGCATTTTCCTTGCTTGTCCACTATGGTCTATTTGGCTTTCGACACCTTCAAAAGAAGGAAACACCAAATACGAAAGCAATATCTGTTTACTTTACAAATAATTTTAGATGACCAGTGATTCTCTGGAAATCATCAAGTTTTTGGATTAAGACCAATAGTTCAATGTAACAGAAGCTCTGCAAACTGCACTATGCAAGAGGGTTGTTGCAAAGTTAATAATGCTATAAACTCTGTTATGATTTATGAATGATCTCTCTGACTTGTATGTCAGTATGGTATAACAGAGTCAGGCGCTATAAATTCGATTACATTTCATATTTTTGTCATATCGAACATTACATTATTAAGGGATTCATTTCTCCGTAATATTTCGAGCCACTTCAAATTACTGTTGATCATCATTATGAGCGCAGACAGTCCGGAAACCTGAAGACGATCAAAATAAACAAAAAAAATGACTTGCTTCAAGCACAACCGTTCATCGATACGCATCATATCAAATAATATGTTTTTCACGTGGCCACGTGAACGACTCGTGGGTGCAGATATGCATATTTTGCCTGATGTTCAAAACCCATCAGTCCTTTGTCATTCCTCACAATGTACAGTTTTTGGTTTTATTTTTTTATTTTCATACATTTTTTTTTATATACTATGCGTAGATATTCGCAAGTTTATACAGTATGTATTTCTGACCATTCAATTTAACAAAACGCCGTTTGAACAGCCGCCGTTCTTTTTTCTGTTTACATACGACCGGTTCAGGACTTAAATTCTCATGTGCTGCTTCCTTCTATCTAGTATCCAGAGCACCAACATGACAACGACTAGCAATCCGCAATTCTCCATATTTTCTCACTTCCCAATTTACCGATCTCATCGGCCGGCTGCTTCCTCCTTTAAAGTTTGCAATCTTTGAAAATGCTTCGCTCCTTTTACGTCATGTGCATCCAACTTGCAGCATGTGTAGATGCGGAAAAAAATAAAATTTATAACGAAATGATACGATTGACCCCCCTTGTTTACCATTTAGTTTTAAAGTTCTTAGTTAAACACCTACCTTTTCAATCTCAATTGTTTATCTTATTTGCCCTTTTTTCACTTTCTTTTTAAAATATTTTCTAAAATTTTAGGTTTTTTTTATTTGCTTGAAGTCTGATGGTATTGATCAGCTTGTTGATATGCTCTTTGGCTATTGCGAAGAACCTTGAAAACCCTGTTAATGACCAAAAGGCTGAGGAGGATAAAGGTAAGTCTACTTATTGTTTGTAACCTCTCTCTACATCTTACATCCAGATAATGCAGTCCTGATACAGAATGGTCAATTGTCTTTGAAAGATAGTGAAATAACTTTATTGATCAACTCAACATTTGAAATAATTGAAGATTTCGAGGTGACTGACGTCAATAGACGGATTAACTTAATTCACTTTATCCCCATTGTCTTACTTGTTTCTTTGCTATTCTCATAACTTTTTTTTAATTCTTTTCAATGTTCATCATTACTTTTCCATATACGGTAGTCTGCTAACATCATTTCTATCCGTTTTTTTTTCATCCAAAATCATATATCTATCATATCTTCTTTTTTTTCCAGAACAATTCAACTGTGAGTGAAGTGAATAGTATTACAAATGAGACAGTCACTGATACTCTCAAGACAACAGAGCCTCCGATGACGACTGTCAGTCCACTCCCACATCCAAGATCTGTTCCCCACAAGACTCGCTTTCAAAAGTATCTTCATCGTTAACTGGCTCATGCATTTTGTTGCGCTTTCAGACTCCGGCCGACAGCTGAAAATTGCAGACAGTTCTCAATTAGAGAAAAATATGGCATGTTGGAGAGAGCAGGGGGTCGAAATCAAGTATTTTTTGACGTCACACTTTTATAGTTATGAATTTTCCTTTCAGTTGTTCATGGCTGAAACCCCTGAAGAAGCATCGAAAGGTTTTACGTCGCTTTATGGGGATGAGAATGAGATGAGTTTGGCTGATGACGTTCAATCGGTGAGCATAGCAAAAGAGAAAGAAAAAAAGAGAGAGAGAAACAATTCTTTCTATCTTTCTATCCTCATCGTCTAATCCATTTTCCTTTCTGCGTTCATCCTCTTCCTTCCTTCTTTCCGAGTTGTCCCTAGCCTCGCCAATCTATGATTTTTCATATATTCAGCTCATTATCACATGCATTTGAGTGAACACCCAAATCATCAATAACATTTCAGGAAGTGGATATCGACTTTTGTGATTCTCGATGCGAGACAATCAAATCTCAGTTGGAGTTGGCTTTAACAAATCGATACAAGAGTGCTGAAGCAAAGAGTTTGAAGCTTCATGATGATACTCTCACTACTGGAGACCAACTGGAGGTTGACGAGGGTGACATAAGCAGATCGTGCTTTTTGGGTATAATTGATTCCTCTACCTATGCCATCAAAAGAAACATGTTATTCTAGATAGCTTTGTTCCAATAGGAAATTGTTCCAATCCTGGTGAAGATGACTCATGGACACATGATACCTTATGCTCAGGTTTGATGCGAAAAAATGTTTGAAATATTTCAATTGGAATGTTTGAGAATGCCGTGGAATTTACTTGTTGAATAAGGAGTGTTTTCCAACCTTCTTCAACACAGTTCGATGTAATTCTCAAGATAATGGTTGTATTTTCGACACGTTTTCAGACCGAGGTAATATTAGAGAAATGATGATTCCAAAGATGAAAGATTATTAGCGCACGGAGAATGTAACACTCAATCTCTCTCATTCAAAGTTTTGAGAAATCGTGGGAACAGCCAATGTGAAGATTGGGTTGTGGAGAACATTGAGGTAAATCTGAGAGAGAGAGAGATATACGAAAACAATTGTGTCCATTGAAGCTTCCGGTTGCGTGCCAATGTATGTTGAGCAAATCTTCATGGCTGCGTTCTCGACCTCCGAAAGAACTATAACAATGTGTTGAAAGCAATTTTTATTACATTCCTTTTATGTACACGGGTCATAATTAATATTTTTTTCAAAAATAAATAAAAATTGATATGTTAAAACTGCGGGGAAGTATAAAACAGCTACATGGTACATAAAGCTCAAATGCAACGCGTAAATGCTTGGCTGGTTTCAAAACCGAATTTTACAGATAAAGCTGGAATAAAAGCTTTCTATATGTTACAGCGGAAAAAAATTGAAAAAGCTCATAGTTCCGAGGCAAGTACCGCATGAGGATATTTCTCTTTTAGTTGTTCCCATTGTACAATAACATCGTCCGCCAAACCAGAATAATAGAGAAGAGCACCTATGTAAGAATGGACAGTCTAATTGAGATCATGGTTTTACCTGACAACGAAAGACTTTCTACTCTACAAAGAGATTCCTCGTAAATAATAACAGTATCTCTCAGCCGAAGCATGTCGAACAACGCTGCTGCTACTACTATAGGTATACAAGTTCCAGGACCATTTACAAGAACAAGATCAGGACTATAACACATAGTTTAGGTAATTGTGGAAACAGTTCTAAACCAACTTCGCATCCCAAACTAGTCTGAATGAACAGGCGATCGAATGAAGAGTAGTAAAAACAGAAGAAAAATAATTTTGTCCAACTTCACGACTTCGAGGAAGGTAACGAATCGAAGAAGAGACACCTTCACAACGAGCATACTGTGACATCTAGAAGAAGAACATTTCTCAAGCAGAGCTTACATTTTACAACCTTGGTTTCACTCATTTTATCAGTTTCAGCAATAACATAGACACGTGGACTATATTTTTCATCAAAATGCTTTAGAAGCTCCAACATTTCAGTTGTATGACCTGAGTATAATTGTAGATTTGTCTATTCAAGATATAAGATTTACCTCCTGAACCGAGAACAGTTAATAATGCCACGTTGGATCGTTTTTTCAACGAGTATTTGCCATGCTTAGAATGTCGAACCAAATAAGCCAAATAAGCAGTCCCTATCCAAACTCCTAACAATATAAACGCCAGGACACAAAAAAAGAAGAAGAACCCCATTCGATTCTATAACGAACATGACTGAATAAGTTTTACATACAACAGAATACTAAAGAGTAGATTTGAAGGGAAAATGATGAATCAAACATAGGTATAAATAGATATAAGCTGTCAAACGAGCAATATCAAACAGGAAAAGGGTTGAACACAATCAAATAGCCAATGAAAAAAAAATACGTAAAGTTACGTGGTGTGAAATTGCGATATCTTCAAATTTTATTTTCATACCCGTTTTCAAGTAAATCGGTTGTTCTCAAGTTTTGCAAGTTAACGAATGCGTTTTGATATTTTTTGACTTCCGTTTAAGGTTTGTTTTTTGTTGTTCTAGTATTTTGCTACTTCTTCCCTCGTGAGGAGCATCTCTTCTTATTTATTCATACTTTTACATGTCTCTTGCTTTCTACTCTCGGTTTCAAATTAAAAAAACTTTCTTAATTCAGTTTTTGAACCATCTTGTATTGAAGCAGAATGGAAGGAAGTGAGTTGACTCGTCTAGAGAGAATGAAAATATTATTTTAGTCGATGATTTGGATTATAATGAGGAAAATAATGAGCAGGAAACTGTACACCACCCACAATCAAATAAAATAACTGTAAGTTCATTTTCCGGTATTAGAATATGGTTCCCATAATTCATATTATAATAAGTGTTCCTCTTGAATGCAAATTCTTTTCGTAAGCTTCAGTCACTTAATATTGTAGCTGAATCAATCTACTTATGATTAGAAATACATTCTGCTTTCCTTTCGCTCTTATAAGCCCTTAGTGGTATTCCATGTATCCGATACGGATGTTGGTTGAGGGACTCTCAAGGCATGACTGAGTATCCAATTGCACAGGGGTTTCTGTTCTAGCACGCGCTCATCGACTGAATACGAAACTGGTGTCGGCATTGAATGACTATGGCTTGACTGATTCTGCTCCTTTTTCATTCCATCAAATGAGCATGACAGCAACTGGGAAGATGTGTTTAGTAATGCTTAATGAACTAAAGCTACGAGTTGCGAAAATTGCATATAATCTCGCGAGAATTTTGGCAATGAAAAAATTTTATCCTCAGAGAGTAGTTTATAATCTGAATTTGTCCCATAAGTTCAAAAGTAACGAATCATTCAATTATTATATCTAGCTTTCGCAACTATCTAAATGTATTGCAAGTAGTTTCCTGAAATCGTTAGATTCAATCTCAGATTTTTTATGTGGCCATTCCCTAGACAACATGCCCTACAAAATCCATTCAAGGCCGCATTTGCCACGGAAAGGAATTATCGAATCATCGATAATTCATCCTGTTCATAAAATAACAGCAAAGACTCATCTTGTAGTTTACACCATGTATGGTAATTCTGTTTGAGCTCTAGTAGAATATGACATCATTTTGGCTGTGTTTTAGCGGCAATGTTGTCGCCACCCCATTAAAAAGATATATGATGTTTCGATATTTTGCATACGGATATGGTTAGTGACCCTTCTTTCTTTGTCTTACTACCTTCTCCATTTTCTTTTATTCTATGTATAGTCTATTCAATAACGCCTTTGTGAATTGAGCCCACGTCCTTGCCTCTTCTTCCTCAACTATTTGCCCAACAGTACTCTACCTGCGCGTCCTTTAATTACACCAAACTGGATTTAGAACAGCCGCTTCAATCCTTTTTCAGACGTCCGTAATGTCATTGACCTCTTACGATTCTATTCTGGAATCATGAAAACTTCCTATTCTTCTAGAGAACTATGTATTACATGGTGTGGTCTATGTATATCCTAACGTTGCTTGAAACGAGTAATTATTATGAACGTCTGAAATTCCAATATTTGGCTACTGATGAGTATCATCTTTTCGTTTCCTATGCCTTGAAGCCATGGTGCCTGAGGCGATCGATGTGCGTTTGTGGTTATGTATGGCCGTCCGTCGCGGCGGCGGCAGAGCCCCGCCCACTCGGCTGCCTTTTCTGCTGCTACGCTCCACGCCTCCACCAGTCGGTCATCCCTCTCCTCTCCCATCCATCCGCCCTTCTCTCCGCTCTTGGTTCGCCCCTTTTTTCCCATTTCACCGCATATAGCGATGGTCTCAGTCGATTCTGCTGTCCACCTGCTCGTCAGTTCTCCTTGGTCTTTTATTAATCAGTTGGTCGAATGTGTGCCTCACCTGCTTACTACCTACATAAAAATAAGCAACCGCCAGCCATATTCTCGATATTGAAGTAATCCCTGGTGCCTTGACAACAATATTTCTTCTGTTCAATTTATTCTGCTCTATTCAGTTATATTGATCTGTTTACGGCGGATGAATAGAGCTTAACTTCAGCAGAGCTCTTATGTATTCCGTTCGATTTGGGTATAAGCTAGCTATGTATCAAAACTTTTGTTGCTTTAGCTCTGTCATGCTGTTTTTTTCTGTTGCATATCTTTCTGTGCATAATATGTAAGTCGTGCCTGAGCAACAAAATGTGTGATCCAGATGTTGGCAGCAATGCTTCGTACATCGATTCATTCTGCTTTTTGCATCAGTAATCAACTTGACTTGGTTTCTCGCCATGAGATGCTCTGTTTGCATGATTCTCTATTTTTCCATATTCTCTTAAGGGCGCATCACTCGCCGCCTGAATCTTTCGTCTCAACCTCTGTCAAACGCAGGTGAGCAAAGTTTCAGGTGTGCGAGAGAAGGCGCCTTAAATATAATCATAGTCAATGGTCTGATTTAAACTACTCGCTCTCGACATCTAAAAAATTTCATAATAAGCTTTTGCTATTTGCTTTCCAAATGCATATTACTTCGCTGTTCAAAGATTGTTATGACTGCACTAACGTGAAGTGTACACATACTAATGAGGATAGCTAGCCTGAGCTTGCAGTTATACAATGAAAGCATGCAGCTTTATCTATTACCGTTTTATGTAAGTTTTCGTTTGCTGCTTCAATGAGTTTGCAACTATTGTACACATGCAAAAGTAGGCTTTTTGGCTACGTGTGCAAGCTGCATCTATGCGACACCTTTTTAGTTCTACTTGGCCAACATTCTTGTGTCAGCGTTGCCATGCTGCGAGGATTAGACTTGCGATCCGGAAGGTCAATAGGATATCTGCCTTGTTGAAATGGATGATATTCCCATTTGTAGCTACTAAATATGGACTTTCCCACAGAATAGCCCTAAGCACTTACACACATAAATATTTGAATTCACCATCAATTGTCAATATTACATGACAATCATTACTTCAAGCCCCACTGAATTGAAACCTTTTCAGTTTTCGGAAGATGCAACTCAACGATCGCCGAATTCAACTTTTGATGAAGAGGATGTCAAACTTTCTTCGGCCGAAAGGAGAGCAAAGAGGTTCGGAATCGAACCAACCGTGAAAATTGAGGTATGTTCAATAATAATAATTGTTATTTCCGCATGCGTCTTGTTGGGTGGTAATTGTGATGCGAGACAACAACAGATGAATCTAATACGGTCATTATGAAAAGAGCAACCATAATTAGATCCATCCGGATGCGCGTCACGTTATTGCCACCTTCTCTCTTGGGAAATAGAAGGTTAAACCTGCTAAAAGCAATCTGGTGCTGATCCTTGATAAGCATTAAGCTCTGAAGGGTAATTATCGTAGATCTCGTTACACTTCTTCATTGATGTGTGTCTTTTAATATATATTGATGCTGATGGAGTTCTATCCTGAAGTTTTGGATCTGCGGGGTTGTTAAAGTTTTGCTATGGGCTTCAATTAAATGCTTGGCAGTTCTATAAGTCTTAGCAGCCCATTTAACTCTCAATCTGTGAAGGTTAGGTTAATGCAGTTGTGTCAAAGGAGGTAGTTCCATTATTCCGCGATCAATCATCATCAGCCGCACATGGAATGACGATCGCGCTTGGTTGGCCCGGTTAATTGCCATCACCACAATGACCACCATGGGACGTGACGATCAGCGAAGGGAGAAGAGAGATCGAAAGGAAAAGAGGTAGAATAAGAGCGAAAGAGCGATATAGACATAAAATTGACAAGGGTTTGTGTATGTTATTGGGGATAACAATAAATACTCAGTATTATATATGTTTGGAGTTAGTATTGGAGCAATATGTTTGGGTATAGCACAACTAAGATTCGAAATAAAGACTATTTAATAAAGAACGGATGTTCATGAAATTGAGGTTGTTGTCTTTTCTTTGTCGCATGCTTCCTTCACTAAGCGAATCCTCCGACAGCTCGAGTCCATTATCCAAATGACTGGCTATTTGAATGATGGATTAGTGACAGTGACTAACATGAAGACTTGATAGTCGAGGATGAATGCCGATTCCCTTTCTTAGTGGATTGAACATTTTTTAGCTCAGCAGCTGGAAAATTTCTGTTAGTTTAACATTATGTGAAGCTGACTCAGCTGCATTACAAATAACTAATTTGCTGTAATTTCATATAATATCACAATTGTAACTTTTTCCAATAAACAAGGATTTCAACTAACATTTTTGGAAGTCATTGTTGGAAATCGTTTAATATGATGTAGGTCATTCACCGATGGCTCTGATTCTCTGAAAGATGTAATAAGGTACTCAATTCTTTTGCTAGTTGAATGCAGCTTTTAGTTGTGAGTCGGAGCTGGCTTACAATAGAGGTTGGGACAACGTATCTGGGAGATTTTCAATACGAAACTGCTCTTTGTTGTTTGGGCTTTACCTTGCAAGTCATGTTTCATAATGAGCAAGCCTCGTTATATTTCTTGAGAACATTCATTGTGCCCCGAATGTTTACATCAAGTTATTACTATATTATGATAGCTAATCACCTTGGCAGAGTTTGCGAGTCAAGGTGCGAGGCAGAGATAAGGATATAGTTGGTGGCTGTTGATCTTGTCTTGTTGTCGAAGCAATGATCGCTCCCACGGTGAGAAAATGTTATGACTTAGCCTACAATAGAAGATCTTAGCGCTGTAAGAGCGATATCAGAGTATATATTTATAATTGTTTCGTGTTACTCAGAACCCTAAAAACAAATTTCAGGTAACAAAAGAAGATTGGGAAGCTTTGTGTTCAGACTTACGCATTCAATCTGGCTTACATTCAGCACGATGTGTGGTTGTTAAGGGAGTAGATGGGATGACCAAGTTTACAGTAGAAAAGTTGGTGTTTCTGTTATTTGAGCTGTATCCTCATTGTTGTTGTCGTGAAGATACTTCTTGGAGTTCACAGCGGCTACCGTACCAGTTTCTTTGTTTCTACCTTTTGTGTTTGCCTACTATTGGCTGTACATTTGTAGTGATTGATAGGGAATCGGTAGCCACTGAAAAGATTAGGGATTGAGTTTATTCTGCTCATTTTTTTTTCAGAATTTTTGCAGCGTTCCAACCTTATAGAGTAGAGTTAGTGGATGATGTGACTGCAGTTGTAATGTTCACTAGTAAAGTCGAATCAGGGGCGGTAATTAACTTCATTCAAAGGATCATTAACGCTCAAAATTCAGATGTTCATTGAAATGACAAAAAGTCTCAGGAGAATTAAACGACATCGCCCTGCTGACGAAGACGGGGAAGTGTTATCCTCTGATGATGAGGATGGACAATTAAAAGACGAAGCTGGAGATGATGTAGCAGTCGTCATGAACACTGGTTAGTCGATTTTTTCCAGCTCCATTTGAGCATTTTCTTTATGATACTGAGAGTTCATTATCTCTAACGAAGTTCATTCGTTTCCTCATTAGTTTGTGGTTACTGTTGGGGGCTAAATTGCTAGAAACTCGGATGGTATTGTGGAGAGCTCAAATGTTGATTGCTAATGTGTTTTCTACTCAGTAAAATAGTTTCTATCTGTTTCCTGAGTTGAGATTACAATAAGTGAAGCTCAATCCTTTCCAACACACGCAATACACAATGTTTGTATATAGCTCATATAAACATCTGTCTCCAGGCTGCATCAATTCCGTTCGAAAGGTCAGATTGGTAAGCAAGAGACATAAAGCTGTAGTCAAATAACCATTAGAATGGTATGGGCTGGGATAGGGGTAAGCCCTCTAGTTCACAAAGCAGCGTTGACCGCTTATGATTCGAAAGCTCATAAAAATTGCACTCACTGTAGTCTTCTAGCTTCTTAAGTTTTCGAAGCTTTTCAAATTGTGGCTTTGGGTTGGTAGTCTTAAACTCACAACATCACTCTGACTCAAAAGATTCAAAAATTCACTTGCGTTTGTTTTTATCAAACACCGTACTAAGTTGTGACGGTTTGATGCAAAAGTGAAAGTGGTATACTATCATTGACAATAGGTAACTGAAGTATTTGTTTGAGAAGAAACTCTATCGTAGAAATGTAACAAAGACCCTCAAGTTAAACATTCTAAGTCTCGAACGATTTGTAATGAATCTCGACTCATTCTCCCACCAGCTCCAATAGGTAAAATATTTCACAAAAAAGTAGTGATTTTCACGACCTAAGGTTTTGTGTTGGAACTATACTTCCTTTATTCTTTTTGCCTATGGCGTTAGTTGCATCAGTAGTTGGGAAGGGTAGCATGACCAATGTTTCATTATTGGCTGTTGACTCCTGGGGTATGAGAATCTAGTTGAGAATGGACTATTTCCAGATTGAGATAATAGTATTTTACAAACCAGATCATTACTTAATACATTTTATGTTCTATAACATTTATTGTAAATGTGGTTTACGACCTAGACATTCGGCTGTTTCTATGTCATTTCCGTGACTGTAAATACATGTTGCATTGAAGTTTTTGCCTCGTTTGAGAGGTTATCATGGAAATAGGTAAAGTCACATGCTCAAAACATTTGTTTACAAATGTTTACAATGATTATGGGATATGATAGGTTAGAAGAATCTTTGTTCCGCCAATATCGGGATGAAACACAATGTGTGCATTTTGACCTGTCGGTTTTAATGATATACAGAGCAAATAAACTAACGACTAAATTTGCGATGCAGTTTGGAGATTGTGCGTGAGCTTTGTCCGTCTGAATACTGATTACTGTTGTGTAAATAGAATACAGCTTTTGTATTGTTTATCTGAGTAAACGCTCATGATGTCTCAAGTGAAAGTTCAATCCATGAATGACTTATGACATGTTAAACTTGGAAAGTTTTGCTTTTTCAGATGCTTCAGATAACCGAACAAGTCGCGCTGACGTTGTTGAAGTAGACGTCAGAGATGTAAATATACCTGACGGGCGTTGGAGAGTTGTAACGAAACATGTACCAGAACATCGTTTCCTTCTAGCGCGATACGCTACTGTACAGGAGGTTCACGTAAGTTAAAAAGATTTCATCATACACTATAATCGATTTACAGGATTACCGTAAAAACAGAAACTTAGCAACTGTTGATGAAACTAAAAAACGTAAGGCAGATGGAACGTTAGAGGATACAGAAGGTTTTGCTAGAACTTCGAAGCATTTTCTCAAATATTAGAACAGGGTATACTTATAACTGGAACACTGACGACAAAGTCAGACCCGGATTGAATATCTTTGATGACGATGGCAATGAGTTGGAATGGGATTATGAGCATGATACTCGGTTTGAATTATGCATACTCTGAAAATGATTGACGGGTTTAGTTTCTACAATGGTGAAGCATTGCCCGATGATGAGAAGGTGAAGCCAGAAGACCAGGAAGGAGCCCCAGTAGCTGTTAAAACGAGAGTATGTTTTAAATTTCTTGAGCATCATATAATTCTCTTTTTCATTATAAAATACTTTTTTTTGCAGGGAAGAGGAGCTAAGAAAGGGCGATTTTTGTATGAAATGGGTGGTGGGTCTACCCTTGCTTCGGATTCTATAAACGATACCAGCAGGTAAAAATTCGAATTTTTCTTATTTCTTTTCTCACTGAACATCCCATCAACTTATCGGCTTTAAGTGATATCGCTTCGCTATCACCATTTTTTTTGCTGAAAACTTCCTTATCCCAACAGCCATAGCACGGTTGCATTCATCAAACCTCAGAACGGTTGCATTCTTCGAACCTCAGAATGGTTGCATTCTTCAAGTCCCAGAACGACTGCATTCCTCGAACCCCAGAACTATAGCATTCTGTCATTCCTAAAATGGTAGCTTTTCCTTATTTCCAGGAGGGTTTCGTTCTTTTTTGTGAAAGTGGTTGCGTACTTTATTCCGTTCAGAATATTTTCTTTGTTATATATTACATCAAAAGAGTTTTGTCTTCTTTCTTCTTATCCCATTATAATTCTTTACCCTTATGTTTTGCATGATTTCATTATTGAATTATAGTATTGCGGCTACTCAGGATGATCGTGACTCCGATGTAGAATCTGAACCTGATCATGATCCAACACCAACGTTACAGCCATGGGATAGAGCCTCAAGACTTGGAGGTCGACTTCAAACGAGGAGCAAGTGGTAATACTCACGATATATAAAATAATTTTGGGAGTTGACATTCCTCTATAAACTGTTGTACGGATGAAAAGAACATACATCGTTCATTCATAATGTATTTTGTACTTTGTAACTTATTATCTTTATTAATAAATCTCTCTCTCTCTCCATCCACTGTGTTCAAGTTATTCGAGAAGTTTTCTACGAATTTTCAACAAAACTTCTTTGTAGTTTGATTTATTGATGAGTACAAAAGTTAAACTATTGCATGGCAAGAAAGGAAGCGGACAGCATGCACTTGGCTCATTTTTGTGTATTGATTGGTGTTTTTTTCTCATTTTCATTTATTGTGTTGTATTCTTTTTCTGTTGGATTCTTTAAATAGCTCGAAGCAAATGTTCAAATGAGCTTTCTAGTAGCTGTAATGAACAATAAATTATTTTTTGAGTGGGAAGCGTCCGAATAAAGAAACACATAGGATTCTTATCGTTGCTCATCGCCACGCATTTTCTTATCGAACCGGCTGATTTGAAATATTGCTCGAACCGATTGCATTTGTCTATTTTTAAAGTTCATATTAACTTCTTTCTACTATTAATGTTCTATTAATATGACCTTAGGGCTAGATGTTGTGTAAGCAGCATAGCTTGAATTCACTTTAGCTGCATAGCATAGGGCAATGATAGATGATAACGTCTGACACATTTTCCTATCTCTCTCTCTCTCGATATTCTAATTCACAAACGAAAGAGAATGTTCACTAATTTCTGTGGGCATTCTTTTTGAACATAAAGTTCGATGTACTACATTCCTATAAGGAATTGTGTGAAAAATAGAAAGTTGAGTTGTGAAAGAAAGAAGAATGGTATACTAGAAGAAGCTTGTTCATTCGTTATTCGCGTTATATTAGTTCTTCATATTCATATTATTTGTTTCGCTCTGTTCTTCATATTCAGTGAACAATACATCTCATATCTTTATTTCATGCAAATATTCAGAAAGCTTTTACTAATTAGTTCGTCGTAACAATTAGCGCTATAATACATTTGCTTATGGCTTTAAGTGAATAATCTTGTCTCGGCTTTCTTCACATAGTTGCTACATGTGTCTATGCATGTGTATGTGCAAGTGTGTATGTGTCTGTGTATGAAAGATGTTCTGTTGGGGAAGCTGTTTTCCTGTAAAGGAATGATCATTATGCTTTTTACAATATCATATATTGACTGTTAATGAACAGTATGAGCAATATGAAAGATCAAACCGACAACTTCTCACATTTGATAATGACACAAATCATTTTGAAAGGTCAATGTGTTGAACATTGATAAAAATTAAAATAATCAATATTCAATTACCTATTATTATTATTATTAGTTGAAAAGAAGGAAATTGATTTTAGATAACAACATGTATGTATTGTTATTTAGTCCATTTGCCATTCTGAACGACATCTCTATCTCACACCAGCAGCAGCGGCAGCAGCAGCAGCACTCTTACTCTGTCACTGTTTGTCATTTCCTTTTTTAGTTTTCTTTTTTTTTTCTTTTTTTCGTTTCACATTTTGCCTTTTATGGAATTTATTTTGATTTCCTTCTCCCCTTTGTTCAATTGATAACAAAGCTTTTCACGCTTATAAAGTGTCTTTAATGATGCTCCTGCTTCACAGTTATCACAGGACAGTCATTTGGATTATGTAATGTAGTTTATCTATCTGACTGGCATTGGTAATGTAGTCAAGTTGGAAGCTAATATGCTTCTACCTTCTATCACACGCATTTCTCCTTCGTGTAGAACATATAGAATTGCCTTAACTGACTTGTGATGAAGATGGTTGAAGATGTTAGAATGATGAATTGATCTCATAAATAGTCTAACTCTTCAAATGTTTTATGTAACTTCCATAAACTATATTAAATGGATGAATAATGTATAATAGCCATCGTTCTTGAGATCTCCAGCCATCAGCTCTTCATCGGAACATTTTTGAATCAAAAATTCTTCTTCTGATATACTAATTAGTTTAAGCGAATTGTTAACTCTGGGAAGTAAACGCAGAAGCTCATCCTGTTCGTGTTCGTGATTGAGCGATGTTCGTTTTCATAATTTGAACGATATTTGGTGAAGTAAAGAACAGAAGAGTTGTCCAACATCATTCCCTTCTATGCTTCTTCGTCCTCTACTTCCTCCTCACTTCGCTCATCTTCAACCGATTCCCGTTCAGTTCAATTTTTCTGTTCGTAATTTCCAATAAATCAATTGGTTTTCTTTGGGGATTTTTCTAAGCTTTACCAAGCTGCCAATCATCTTTGACTGATCAGAAGGCTATCCGTAACTACATGCTTTTTTCTGTTCTTGTGTTCTCAATAGAAAGTTTCTCTCTCTCTCTCCTTTGTGCTCTCTCTCTCTCTTGTTCTTTGTCTTTCTCTCTCTCCCTCTCTTTCAACAACTTGCTTGTCTTATTTAAAATTTAATTTTGTATTCCATAATTTGTATTTGGCTGACTGTTATCTCATTCTTCAATTCCATTTGTTATTTTTCGCCCAGTTCCGATAATTTTTTTCATTTTCTTTTCTTTTTTTTTCAGAAAAAAAACTATGAAACCACTTATCTTCTTCACATGAAGCATTTCTCAACATTGTATGTCTCAAAGACGTATGCATCTTCAACCAACTCCGAAAATGCCAGAATTCCACGACCCCAATTCAGGTAACGGTTTTAATAATTTTTTTTAATGTCGTTTGTCTCATTCTGTTCTTCTGATGTCTCTCATTGATATTGCTCTCCATTTTCTTGCTTTCTTGAACACTCATTAAGCACTCTCCATATATGGACTGTAGTCTTTAGACAGTAAGATGACATGCCTAGAATTTCAATGCGCTTTCCGTAATTTCACTCTATGACCTTTGCTCCTTTCATGATGGACTAATGTTATGATAACGATAAGGTTCTTGACCAAGCCCATTTTTGCACTCTCTAAGAATCACGTGAGCCATGCCACGTCAAACGCTAATTAGTTTGAGTTTCCTTTTTATTGAAGTTTAGCATCCGGAGTGGTTGCATTTATTTCTTTTTTCTTTCTACTATTATCGCCTTTAATTACAGGGACACTGTTGATCATTTAGATATTTGAAGAGAATAAGAGACAGAGAGAGAGAAGAAGGTAGAGAGAGAGGTAGAGAGAGAGGTAGAGCAAAAGCAAAAAGCAAAAAGAGAGAGAGAGAATGAAAGACATGCGACAACGAATACAATTTTTATCCTGGAAGAGGTGAACGTTTTTTGCTTTTTCTCCCTCCCTGTCTTACTCTCTCTCTCTCTCCTTCTCCCTCTCTCTTAGGCTCTCGCTGGCTCTCGCTACTTCTAACTTTTCTCTGTATAGTGTGTATGTTGCAATTAACTCAACTTTTACTACTATCGATTCCGCTTAAATTTTCTAACATCTGTTTTAAACTCAGAAATCGTTAAGTTAACTTGTATGTTGGATGGGAGATCGTTATGCTGTCTACTGTTCGTTGCGTTGTCCCAGTTACAAAGCCTTTCCAAAAAAATCTTTTGGAGAACAGTGTCAACTGAACACAGTTGTTTTGAGAGCTTTTCTCTTCATTATACATTTTCTCTTTTTCTTCTCTCATGTAATAATAGATTATGAAAGGCTTATAAGGTAGCTTAAGCATATTCGCCTAAATCTAGCGACTGGAAGGTTATTGACAGGGTTTACTAACATCTGCTTTGGAACTGTTAACACACACACATCGCACTGAGAACATTATTGGCAAAATAAAATGATGAAGAAGCAGCCTGTTGATAGAGTTTAAAAGATTTAAACCTAGATGTTAATCATATTAAGCTCAGAGGATCGTTGCGTTCATTTACTTCAAGAGATTTTGCTCCTCGCCCAAGTGAGAGGATCACGATTGCTTTCCGTAAACGAGAACATTCTTTTTGAGCTTTTTCTTCGTTTCTTTTTTTTGTGTATGTTTGTTGTCCAAAAAAATTTCGAGCTTGTTCCTCAACTTATTCTTTCATTTTTACTTTTAAAAGCTTGTTTTGGAAGTGGTCTAGCTCTAGAGAGAAGTATGTGAGTTATTCATCTCGTGATATGTTTTCTATCCGCTCTTCTTCTCCTGCCTTTCTCACCGGTTCACTTAGCTTGTGCGTGTGTGTTTCCTGACGCGTTCCCATATATGGCTTGCAGTTCTCTTTCTTTCCTTATTAGTCTTCCAAATGTTTCACTCGTTGACTATTCTCTCCTTCAGCGCATATTTCTCTCTCAGTTATTGCTACTGCAGCTATAGTTGACGCTGCCGACGGCATAGTCGTCGACATCGTCTACTCATCGATTATTGTGCCCTGCGGCAGTAAGGAATGAAAAAGAAAGAGAAAGATTGAGGGAAAAAGAGAAGCTGAATGAGAGAGAACGGAAGAGAAGAGATGAGGGATAGAGATATGGCAAAATACTATAAAAAAGAAGGAGGCTACGAATGTAACGAGAGATGTCCCGTAGACACTACATAAACGATGTCGACTACCAGACATTCAGACATTCAGACATTCAGCCCTCCCCAGATGAAGAGTTAGTGAGGGCCAGGCCAAAGACAAGCCACAACTATGAAAAGTATTGAGAGACGAGACAGACATTAGAAAACATGCCCGCTGTGCAAGAGACGCCCAGCAGCTCATGCAGAATGTGCCGGGCTTCTGGTTGCCTTGACTGTCTCAAACCTCAGCCATCAGATGCTTTCTTCATCTCTCACATTTCCTTTTGCTATCTCTTTTACTCTCTTTCTTGTGCCCTACAACGCTGGCATAGTCTAGCAGTTTGCTTTCATCTCTATCTCTCCTGCACTGTCAGTTTTCCTAGCTTGATCTCTATATCTTTTTCTCTCTTCAATGTTTTTGCTATAATTTTAATCTCTCGTCTCTTCTGTTTAGTTCTCACACCCTCATTTCTATCAAGCTCCAACTTCGTTCACAATACTGTGTTTCTCTCAGCTTTCCACACCATATATTCGTTTTTCATATAGTTTTACGATAAATTTAAATCATTTATTCTCCAAAAATGGTTGTTGGTGCTACGAGTTAAAGCTTAGCGTTGCTCTTTCACTGCTTGTTCCGAAGCTTAAAGTCATCAGAAATATTTTCTGGCCAGCTCCACCAAACTCGGAAAATCGTTTTGACTTGCGTTTTTCTGAAGGAAAAAAAAAACGAAGAAGGTTTTACTTCTTCATCTTTTCCGTCTACTTCTTCTCCTTCTCCATCTCCTTTGTGCTTCTGCTTCTGCTCGGAACAAAAGTTCAATTGACTTTCGACACATCTATGTTATGAAATTGTTTTTTTTTGTTGTTCCAAGTCAGTTCATTAGCAGAATTTTTTTCGGCGATTTCTCTCTCTCTCTCTCTCTCTGACTCCTTTTCTCTCTCTCTCTCTCTGTTACCATTTTTTTCACTCTCCCTTTTTCTCTCTCCCTCTCTTTCAATAAAAGTCCCGTCAACAATCCATCTATATCACCTCAATCTTTTATTCCCATATGCGTGTATTGCTCTGGTAGAACCACATCAACTAATATTTACCTCCTTTTCTCCCTCTATATCTTTCTTCCCTCTCCCTCTTTTCTTTTTCGTTTTCCAAAAAAGAGAGATTCGAATTCTACATGGCACACAACTTGTGACCACCTTTTTTTATTTTTCATTTCTTCTTTTTGTCATTTTTTATTCACGAAATATCTTTACCCAACTTGAAAGCTTCAAATGTAAGTCTGGCGCTCATCGTTCAACTGCTCTGCCACTTTTACCACTTTTGTTCTGTCGCTTCAAAGCAAATTGAAAGTTTAGTAAATGCTATTGGAGTTTCAACACACATTCTGATGTGTGTTTGTATTGTTTTGATTCGAATATTTTCTATTTAAGGCTATCAAAAGCTATTAAAATAGTATATTCGTTACCTCTTGGCATTTTCGTTTAACTGCTGAAGCATGTACTTGGCATAGCATGCAAATGTAAGAGAGAGGTAGAGAGATAGAGAGAGAGAGAGGAAGAGATAGAGAGGGAAACAGAACAGAAAGAGAAGTAGTAGGAGTAGTAGTAGAAGGAAGGCATGTAGTGTGAATGTCTTCTTCTTCTTCTTCGTCTTCTTCGTCTTCTTCTTCTTCTTCGTCTTCTTCTTCGTCTGATGAAAAGAATTTATCTCACACACTGAGATGAGGAATAAAAATTTTTTTTTTATTTAAACTTGATGATCTTTATTTAACGGAGAAGATGACATGTAAAACGAGGATCATATTTCATATTTTTTACATTAAAAGAAGTTAAAACGTGAGACATGAGTTAACCAGCAAATGCTCGAAAGAAGATGTAACAGAAGAAAGGGTTGAGATCACACCTAGCTTCCGACTCTCTGAATTTATCTTTCCTGCTTAGCTCACTTTCTATTTCTCTATCTCACTCTCATTCTTTCTATTGCTATGAATGCTCTTTCTATCTCTCTCTCCTACACTCTTTTCCGTCTGATCTCCTTCTCCTCCTCCTCATTGCGTTCATTCAAATGCATCTTTTCTCTATCTTAGCTATATGTAATTCTTATGTGTTGCTCAATACTTATTGTTATTGGCTTTGGGCGAACATTTTTAAACTGGACTCACAAAATAAATTTTTTTCATTTTTTTTTTTATTTTTTTCCCGATTTCTTTTTATAATACACAACTGATTTTCATTTCTCTGCTGTCTATCATTCGTTTGCCTTTCCTCCCTTCCATCTACTCCCAACACCCATCTCCCCCTCTATCTCTCTCTCTCTCTCTCTCTCACCTTCTATGTTACATGCAAACTCTCTTAACTATAGCTTACTTATTAAGCTTATGCTCTCATCTAACTTATCATGTTTTGCTTGTTTTTGTTCTGAAACACAATTAGGTTTTTTCTTCTTCCCATTTCTCCTTATAAACACACAATTTTACTTCGATTTCGCTGAAGCTTTTCGTCTTCGTCTTGCCGAAGTCTATGTTTGGCTATTTTTGGAAGCAGCTTATCTATCGAGCATAAGCTCTTATCTTCATCAAACTATACAAAGCTTGCCTTACTTTATCTGATTTTTTATGTCACTTCTTCCTCTACTCCTTTTTTCTCTCTTTAAATGCACTCAACAGTTGGAACTCGCGGGTTGTATGTGTGTGTGTGAGTGTGTGTGTGTGTGTGTGTGTATGTGTGTGTGTGTTGGAATATGCGAGTAAATGTGTTCTTTTTCTTTCCCTCTCTCTCTCGTTATCTCTCTCTCTCTCTCTCTCTTAGTTCTCCCTCACAACTATTTCTTTTCATATCTTCTACGGCCTTCTCTCACATTCTAATTCAAGCTTCAACATTCTCTTCCAAACACAGATATTATAGAAAAGGTTTCGACTTTACTCTCTTTATCTCTCTCTCTTTATATTCTATATCGTCCCTCTATCCTTCTCTCTCTCTATCTAACTATCTTTCCTTCCTATCCAAGAATTTGTCGTCGTCATTATCTACTCAGAATGATGGGTGGCTCATGATCTTGCGATATGTTTCCGCTTTGTCATCCCACTCTTCCTGGATTTGTTAGACTTTTTTTTTCTCATTTTGTGACTTCGCAATAGCTGTGTTTACTTCTATCCATTCTATTCGCTATTTTTCATTCTCGTTGGTGTAGTATAAAACCATCTGAAGTATCATGAATGATTGGAGGTTAACTGC